CAAAACAGCATCTAATTACATATTTAGGACATCTTTACAATGGAGTATTTTCATGTGATAATAGCCATAATTTCTGTCTCTAAAAGGAGCAGTTGCATATAGTTGTTTATTCTTCTATACATGATGTACTTTGATAATAAACCCATTCACAAAATACAACAGATTAACTGATGAAAGTTGAAAAATCTTATTTCTACATTTATGGGCTGATTATTCTATTTTACTCTAAAACTGAATACTGAAAAAAAGTAGGGTAAATATATAGACCTGCAAAACCCTTTAATAACATAATTAATCAAATACTTAACCTAATTTATATCACTGAAATAAACCTTTACTTTAAATGCCAGACATAAATAGTTCCCTGTTGAATATAACTGCCGCAAATACACTTTGACTATTTAGGCAATTTCAAGGCATGTCTGTATTGTATTAATATATACTTATCTAACCAACTTACATTACAAAATACTACAGAATTATTGCTAATTATTTTCCAGCATTTGTAGTCAGAACAATAAATTCTTTCTTCACCCTTTACATAAAAATTACGTAGCATAGTTAGAATCACTAATATGCAAATAGGTCCATGCATGTATTTGGGCATTCTTTCCATTTACACTTGAAGTCAATGAAATAAACAATATTTATTTCACTTCATAAACACTGGCAAGCCTGATTACCACCTCATTTTGAATATTTTTTCATCAGTAAGCAAGAATCTAATTTTCTCTATATCATGTAAGATAGCACACCATATAAGCTTAAGTGTGCCTCTTTCCAATAACAGGAATAATTATATAATAACAAGCATTAATTTTATTTCTGTAAACATATTTGTTTACTTTTGATATATATTAATTCAAATTGTATATTATTCTTGCTCTGGTATACCAAAAGGCACAAATATTTAATTTTGTGTTATCATTGTCTTCTAGCCTCTACCAAATAACTTTTAACCAGTATATCCAGTATCAATTATTTCCTGAGCTCAAGCAGTAACATCTGCAAACAGAGAAAACTCAGTCTCCAATCACCCATTTATCCCCATGAATTATAAACACAGGGGGTGGGAATTTAACACGAAGCTCTTCAATACTATAAGGCCATTTGAGTATATCAGCAATGTAAAATGTGCACAGCTATATAAACAAAACTAATCATTGAAAGAAGGGAATACCACCAAGATGGCCAGATAAGGAGGAAAAAAGAACTCATTTTTTTCCATATCATCTTTGAGAGGAATGTGTCATCAAAGAGGCCAAAGGTATACATTTCTGAAATTAATACTACATCTTTATTTAAAATCACATTCCCTAGCATAACCCATCACAGCCTTGCTGATTTCTTTCCAAATCAAAATACAATTTTTCTCTTTTCTTTGATCTAAAAGATGTCAAACTTCTCATAAAAAGAGTTATTTTGGCAAAGTTGAAGGGCAAAAGAGTTTTAAAACGTTGCCTATATCAGAAGTCTGTTTGGATACTTCAAAAGAGAAATCCATAACTGAAGTGCCCTGGAGGCTCTCTGGAAGAACAGAAAAAAGACCAGGCGTTTTAAATAAAAATGTTCCCACCCAGTGATTCTTTCATCTTCATATGCAAAGAGACTGGGATTCAAAAACTTCATCAGCAACAAAGCCCCACCTCGTCCCATTTAACAGTTTTATCAGTCTGTTACCTGATGTTAGGATTACATAAGCGAGTTTCCTTCCATTAGGTAGAGTTCCTAAAATGGGAACTGTCAAAGCTGGTAAAAGTGAAATCTAACCCACTTTTTTCAAAGATTTCCATGGATTTTATGGTGAGTCTAATTCTTTTTACAGTTGTAGCTCTCCTCCTTTCAACCAAACTATGTTAACAGAAATACGCTAGCAAATACTTTACTTTTTAATTGTCAAAATAAAAAAAAAATCTATAAAATATACACACACTTCTTAAATTTTTATCTCTAATAGTGAATTTCTTATGGTACTTTCTGTATACATTGGCTTTACAATCTATTGTAAGCCTGGTATCACTCTACCCACACTAAAAAATTATTCATTTGGAGTACATTTATAAAATGTAACTAAACTGATAAGTCCAACAGTTAAGTTTGATAAAACACAAACGTGAATTTTACAATGTATTATTTGTGAGGCCAGCCTGGTGGTGTAGTGGTTAAGTTCACACGCTCCACTTTGGCGGCCCGGGGTTCATGCGTTTGGAGCCTGGGCACAGACCTACACACCGCTCATCGGCCCATGCTGTGGCAGCGTCCCACATATAAAATAGAGGAAGGCTGGTACAGATGTTAGCTCAGCGACAATCTTCCTCAAGCAAAAATACGAGGATTGGCAACAGATGTTAGCTCAGGGCCAATCTTCCACACCAAAAAAAAAGTGTTACTTGTAAGAAAAAGATTTCTTGTATTTACAAGGCTGTCATGTATAGTTTTCTATTCTCCCTTTAAGAATGAAGCATGACATTCTTAAGAAGGTTAATTATTTAATTAAAATAGAAGCTATTCAATACTTTTTAAAAGATTTTATTTATTCAGCTTTTTCCCCCCAAAGCCCCAGTAGATAGTTGTATGTCATAGGTTCACATCCTTCTAGTTGCTGTACGCGGGACTCGGCCTCGCGTTGGACGGAGAAGTGGTGCCTCCGGGCACTCCCGGGATCCAAACCTGGGCCGCCAGCATCAGAGCGCGCGCACTTAACCGCCAAGCCACAGAGCCGGCCCTCAATACTTTTTAAAAAGAGAAATCTGATTTCTGGGTTTTCTCAAACTCCCAATTGTCATAAAATATAATGAGAAATGCATTTCAAGTAAATTCACAAATCAACCACACAGCATCACATTTACAGACTTCTATATCATTCTTATAATTCAAATAAAGGTGCTGTACTATTCCTACAATTATTCTGGAGAAATCACCAAGGCATTCACAAAGATTTAATTTCAAATAAAAGGATAAGAAAGCATACAGTCTTATGGAAATCATATGCAAAGGAGAGTATGGTACAATGAACATATTTCATCACATGATTTACAGTAATAAACCACTTCTTATATTTATTCATTTTTAAGACTACTAACTTCATTTTCCTTAGACAAGGTTTAAAAGTATTAAAAATAGCCTATATTCACTATGCTTAATTTTCGACTCAACTATAATTTCCATTGAATGAAATGAGAATAAAGTAGTTATAAATATTTATAAATAAATGCAACAAAAAACTTAACTTCATAGCCTAAAGCATAGCCACAGAGTTAATACTGTATACCTCATAAGAACAGAGTAAAAGAATATGATAAACACTATAATAATGGACTTCAGTTTCATCAAAACGATAATCTTATTAAGTAGACATTTATTACCCTAACTTCAAGGTTCTTTAGAGTACACAGGAAATAAAATTACTCTGTGCCCATAAAAATCATAGCAGTATGAGACAATAGATCACTATGGGTGTTTCTTCCATTGTGCCAATATTAAGTAAAACTCCTGGACAAACGTACTCAAAATAGATAATATTTCCTATGTTCAAACAATGCATAATTCAAGAATAAGTAAACTGAACAAGGATAAAAGAATACTTTTGATAGCCTTAAATTCCAGTAGTAAACACAGAAGGATAAGAATAAAAACAGTAATGATCAGTGCTCTCCAAATACATGCCATCAATCTTTGACTTTTACTCTGCAGAGGGCTTTTTAAAATATATTGTTAAAATTAATCATACAAAATATACATCAAATGGTTCATTCTTGAAAGCTAACATTATAAGCTATGGTGTTTAATAAAAATCCTAAATATGAAAATGCAAAGTCAGAAACATAAAGCACTAGAATTTTGTAAATAAAGCTAATACCCTAGGATAAAACGAACTGGAATGAAGGAACAGATAGGTAAATTTATAAGCGGTACTGGGGAGTGGAAACTGTAAGTTAAAATTCATATTAAGACATTCATGTCCTCAGACATAATATATAATGTTCCAGAAAAAGTAAGAAAAGGAGAATAAATGAGGCTAGCCTTACTACTATTGCTACAGACAAGTTATAACTGAAAGCTGTAGCTTCAATCTTTTTTTCCACTTCTTTCTTTTATCATAAATGAATATGTTTATGACCGTTTTTTCTATCTGGCTTATATGCACAAATCACGTTCTGAAGCATTGTCTGTTATAAAAGGGCTATGTCTTTAGTGTATAAACTCACTTGGGAAAATAAACTCTAAAAGTTACCCTAGTTATATAAATAGAACTAAATTCCTAGGAGATTTTAAAGGTAAATATTAAAATATGTGCTTTGGCTCAGAAAATTGAAGTCTAATGAAAACCAGGACAAAGCCTAATTAAATTAAATGTACTCAAGATTTTGCTGTATTTTGTTTACATATATGTGGCAAGTAGATGTAGAAAATGTAAAATTTTTGTAAGACACCCATAGCCAAGTTCTTGCTTTCTCTTTGCCTAGTAGAAAAGTGTATTATTATAGAAAGTGGTGAGGATGACAACGACATTATGACAAAGAGGAATGGAGTTAATGCAGATGCAGTAGGCCAATCTAGCTTTTGAGAAGATAATGGTTTTTATGAATGCTTGTATTGAATTGTAAGTAATTAAAAATGTATTTGGACAGACTTAGGAACTTTAAAAAACTCTGTTCATATCTCATTTAGAGATAGTAATTGAATAAAATCTAATTGAAAAGACATATTTTTTTTCTAAAATTAAAAGCCCCAATTTCTTAGAAATTGACTTACTTTCCTCTGAAAATATCATTTGTGATAGGAGAGAAAAAGAATCTATTTCCTGTAACTTCTTAAGAATACTATGGCCCAAATTTCCATCAGTTCTGCTAAATAAGCAGAGCTAAGCCATACTGGCCCACGTTAGTGTCTTAGTCAGCCTAGCAAAGACAGTGCTAATACTAAAAGTGGAATTAGTCTGAAAATCATAATTCTTAAACAAAAGTTGATAAGTGTATCACTGATATGTCAACACTTACGGCTATCATAACATATGTTTCCTAGAGCCCTGCCCGTTTGAAGCAGCACTTCCTGGTCTTTGCTATTTAGCAGCTGCACCAGTGGTGAAATCAATCCAGCATCCACACATGGAATTCGCATAAATTCTGAAAATAAGAGACATATTTAATTAAAAATCTAAAGATTCACAATTACATAAATCACTTCCCTTAATAAAATAAATACCTACTATTAAAATGGTTAAGGTGGTTTACTGTTTGAAGAGTACATTTCTGTTCAAAAGTACTATTTACAATCCTTCTAAATCCTTCATGAAATAAGTACACAAAAATGAGTGAGGTCATATTTTTCTTTGCTGATAGTTTCTGCCATAAAACAAAAGGATTTTTAATTAACTTTCATTATACCTAATTTATCACTATCTTCTTGTAATAACTGGCTGTGCTAGGAAAGCAACATGTGATGATGGAAACCCTGGAAATATTCTTTCCACGAGCCTGATAATTATTGAAGTACTACAGTTATAAACTAAGCCAACCAACTGCAGAATTTTTCACTATATGTTCTCCAAAAGCCAAAATATAAAATGTTTAAAAAGGTTGAAGTGAATTATTAAAATTAACAGGTTCTTTTCAATTGGAAGACCTAATGAAACTATTCCTTATCTTCATTTCTACTCTTTATTAAAATCCATTTTATGGATCACTCACAATTGCTGTTGTACCCATGCATTCATAGGTGTAAAACACCAAATGTTAAGCTTTCTTATATTTCAAAGTCATTTTTTTCCCTAGCTTTATATAGTATACCATTCTCAATTTATTGATTCCCAATGATACCATCACAGTCATGATTAGACAAACTTTTTTACAGTGTCTCATGAGAAACTACTACAAAATTTAAGGATAATGAAGATACCTAATTGACGAAAGTTGTCCAATAATCAATATTAGAATCATCATTTTGGACATCATGACTTGCTGTAAGGATGTTCTGGTCAATAAAGTCAGTCAACAAAGATCTAATTCCTCAACCTATAACCCATCCTACTAAAAAATCACTATCTTTTCACTCTCACTTTCAAGAGGGTCCACTCCTTAGTTTGTTCCACAAGTACCCTCATAAGCAGTTCTCCCTCTTTCCCTGCATTTTCAAATTCTTAGAGCACATCATATAGGGCTGTTATGTGAGCTGTTACCTCTGAAACAACTTCTTTTCTCCCTAACATAGCTATTAAGTCACAAAGGTATTCCTCTACCTAAATAAAGGATTGCATTCCTATATCTCTTACTTACTTACCACTATATTATTGAAAACCCTCTATAATTTAAACTTTCAAAATTAAGAGTACTTCCTACTTCTAAAGCTAACCTTTAAGTTTATCATTAACGTTCTTTTTTTAACACAGTAGTATGAGGTATCCCATCACCTATTAGAAAAACAAATTATGCTACATGCTTCCATGAATTCAATGACCACCTACAGGAGATGACATATCAATCTACTTGTCTACCTCTTAAATTAACGGTTACTTTAGAATCTTTATAGATTTCAAATCTTAAATTAACATGTCACCAACTCAAATTCATCAAATTAAAGATAGATATTCACTACCCTTTACATCTCTCCCTATGCTTAGTTTCCAACAGTGGGATCATTTTAATGACTACTAAAATAAGAAATTTAGGAATGGTCTGATTTGCACTCATTTCATAAATGCAACTTGTTTTATTTTATTGTTGCTATTCTTCAGGCAATGATGACATTGATGAATTACAATTTTTCTTTCCTTTTGTGTTCTAATTGTCTATATGATACCAACCTATCTTTCAAAATTTAGATGCTACATCAATAGCTTCAGGTATTCTCGAAATGATAAAGGGTAAATACTTATAGAAAAATTGTGGAATCGAATAAAACTGTTCTGAACTGTTTTTTATTCAAAAGCACATCGAAGAACACCTTAAACATACACAATGTATATGTCAATTATATCTCAGTTTTTTTTAAAAAAGCCTATAAAGATAAAACAAAACTAGTATATTCCTCAGCTTTCCATCAATATAAAGGCAACAATGCCAGTTCCTGGAGAAAGTAAATACCTTCTAAACCTTTGCTTTTCAGTCAATTTGCTTTTTAACTGAGGAGTGGAGCTCTCCTTAGGTAGTTTTAAAGACATGAAGTTACACGCCTCAGATGAATATATGTAAAAATATACCAGGAATTTATCAGGAATATGTTTAAAATATTATATATGTATATTATATTGGAGAGGCTATAGAATGGCTGAGATGGTCATCCTTCTTCAAAGGGGTTCCCACTACATACATCCCTGGTTCACAGCACATGAGCCTGTTACCTGATCACAGCTGGCTGGACTCTGACTCAAGTCCAGCCTATATGCAATCTGACCAACAGCCTATTAGATGGTCTAGTTTGAAAGATCTGCTAAACAGGGCAATAGCGATGAACTAAAAAAAAATCAGATCCTGTCTCTTGGCAATTTGAACTCCAAACAGAGAATGAAAAGTTCTTGGGGAGGTGAAGGGAAGGACTGTCAGGGGAAGCTGACTCAAAGATACATATGGAATGACAGTGAGCAGAAATCAAAGTTAGTGGAAGCCACTAGGCAATAGAAGGCAGAAACCACTAAGTACTTGTATGATTTGTATGTGTATATGCATGTCTATACAAGATAGAATTCATTTTGTTTTTTGCATAATATGTGGACTTCAATGTAGAAATTCAATACAGAGGCTTAAGGAAGCCTCTATCTTCTATCTTATATGCTCTATCTCAATATCAACCCAAATTTAGCAACATAAAGTTGATTTCTATCTAAAAGTAATATTTTTTTCCTTTGATTGTAGCAAAACATTTAATAAGTGCTTGTTGATTGATTGAACATTTCTATTTCTTTCTAAATCCTTGTTATTTCTAAATCCAGTGTTAACTTTCTTTTTACTTTTACTTTCCCAAATCTACTTGAATTACATATTTATTCAGCAGCATCATAAAGTACAAGCTGTGATGAAAACCACAAAATAAAATTATTTTCTTTTACGGAGATTCATAAAATCCATTTTTTACATATCTATGTATCAAATATTAAAAAGCTGATTCACATGTACTTTTCTCATTTTCAACTACCTGAAGGAACTAAATCTATTTCATTAAAACTCTTTTTTAACTCTATAAGCCAAATAAAAACAGTGAGTGCTAGAGTCTACCTTAAAGTTTGTTAAACTAAATAGTAAGGCATATTCAGAGTTTTGAATTTCTCTAATACCTCTTTATAATTAACTCTTGACTTTTTATATTTTTCTTCGGAAGAACAAGGAAAACTATGAAGATGAATATAAAAGAATGAGTGACTTTTATATGTGAGTTGAACTGACATTTTTCATTCATACTCTTTTTTTTGTTTTGTTTTGCTTTAATGGGTTACTTTCTAATCACAATGGAGAAACAGACCTGGGGAAACAGGAAAATGGAACAAATGCAGAAAAATTATACTAATCTTAATGTAGTCCCTCATCTATGCATATTAGGTGAACTATATGAAATTGCCAATATTCAATTGTTTTTGGCCTACAAAAGCACTTTCATGTGAAATTGTTTCTGAATCCTTTCTGAAAGGGTAACAGGAAACCCCTCTGCTTTTGTATGTATTGCCTTTTTTTAAAAAAAAAAACTGTAACTGATTCTTACAAAATGACTGAGGGTAAGCTTCCAACACTGAATGTTAAGGCATACTTGAAGCTACTTGACAACATGGTGCTTTTTTCTTTTTTTTTGTGAGGAAGATCAGCCCTGAGCTAACATCTGCCAATCCTCCTCTTTTTGCTGAGGAAGACTGGCCCTGGGCTAACATCCGCGCCCGTCTTCCTCCACTTTATATGGGATGCCGCCACAGCATGGCTTGACAAGCAGTGCATCAGTGCATGCCCGGGATCCGAACCGGCGAACCCCAGGCCACCGCAGCGGAGCGCACACACTTAACCGCTTGCGCCACTGGGCCGGCCCCTCCACATGGTGCATTTTTTGAATATCAATTTTATTCAATGATTCTTCTAGGCACACACACATTTTATACTAAAATAAACATATACTTGTTATGGAGTAGAGGGCAAAATTAAAATAAATAAATTTATAAGACAAAACAGGAGACTTCCATGTTTCTGGTGATACCCTCCCCAGTTCATCCCGGGTGTACACTTTCACTCTTGTTAAGAGCAATCAAGTGGCAAAGTTTGATAAACACTTTAGCAACCTGATAAAGTATAGATGGGGGGAAAAAAGCGCATAATGTTGATCCAAACTACTGATTCCATCTTACTTTAGACTGAGATTTGGTTCTCAAGCTTTACAGGCATCAGAATCACCTGGAGGACTTAAAACAGATGGCTGGGCCCCACTCCAGAGTCCCTGACACAGTAGGTGTATGAGAGGGTCCATGAATTTGCATCTAACCAGTTCCCAGTGATTCTGATGCTGCTGGTCCAAGGCAGGAAACCACTGTTTTGGAGGAACAGAGGAACAGATGTAAAGTGGCTCAACTTTTGTTTGCCTTTACACATTTTTAGCTTCAGTCACCAGCCTAACCTGTCAGGTCATATGCTGCTATCCCTGCACTCAGACCACTATCATAAAATCTCAGCTACTGAAGAAAAGTGAAACAAGAGGAAACAAGGTGAAACATAAATCCCCAGCTTTACCACCAATTACCTGTGTGAAGACAGGCAAGATATTTAACCTCTCTGTTTTCTCACGTGCATAAAACAACCCATCTCCTATGGGGTTGTTATGAGAATTTGAAATAATGTACCTAACACCTGGCACAATGTACACACATACCACCACCTAGTTTTAGAAATTTATTATTAATATTAGATACCTTGAGAGTACAATTCTGTAAAGGAGGAAATATTCATAGATACTTCCCGTCTTGCTTATTTTGCCTCAAATCAGTCTTAAATCTATTACATAGAGGAATACTTTCTTTAAAAGGTATCAAAATCTTTTACTATAATTTATGGTCATAGCTATGCTCCTACCTTAAACTCGTCCATGGAACTTCTTAATAATCCTCTGGATTTTGAACATCAGCACATAGTCAGGTTTGTTAATTTTTAGATTTTTTTTTCTATGTGCAAATTTAAACATAATTATATTTTATGATTAATCTGAATCTAAGAAGTATATGGTAATATTTTTTTCCTCTATAGTTATAAAAAGGTGCACAGCAGAGTGAAGACGAACAAATCAAATACCGATATCTTTTTTTCTCTGGTTCATACAATCTTCTTCATTGTCAAGTTTCTAACAAGAAGAAATATAAGCCCAATTAATATACTCTGTTGGATCATGTTGCATTTCTGAAGATAGGTATTTGTTTTAAAAAGAAGACTTTAACCCACTTTCTCAGCCAGTCACTTAAAAAAACAATGTGGTGATTAAGTAATAAACAACCATGTAAATTATCCCATTTTAAACAGTAGAGGTTAGTGATATGCCCTTAACAAGCCTCTGATTAGACGTATAAATGCTAAAAATTCTATTATGTCTTTAGAACATAGCTGTCATCTACTAGAGTATTACTAGCAGCAGAGGTCTCAGGAAACTGTGACAAGTATTATGAAGACTGGTATTATTAAGTAAGATCATACAGGAATGGCAATCCATTTCACAAAAATCTATCCAAAATTTCTATCTGCTACAGTGTGTGTGCTAATTCTTAAGAAAAAAGGGTTAAACATAAAAACTGATTTCTGGAAATCTATACAGTGATTCTAATGAGGTCAAAAACAAACTACTTGATCTTAAAAATCAAGCTGCTTTGCATCTAAGATGATCCAGATAGTGGTTGGTCTAGGTTAACAAACAATGTCTGGAGGGGTTCCATTTTCAAACTAGATCTGCTTCAGGAGTTCTCCGTTGTTCCAACGTAACCACTATCTATTCAGAACAGTTCGAATCTGCCTGAAGTACGCTAAATACTCCCAGACCACCAGGGAACCTTTGAACATTTATGATTAGCTCGAATCCAAAGCACAGCAGAGGGATTATATAATTACACCAGCTCAGACGTGACATACAAATAAGAGGTGGCCAGTTTCCAGTTAACAACCAGAAAATGATTTACCAGTATAGAACTTCATTGGAACTTGAAAGACATTTGAGAACCTCTAAATAAAATGAAAAAATTTCATGGCAATTTTCTTTTGTAACACACATATGAACAAGTTACTTTACTGGGCCAAAAACAAATACTGGTACTTTACAATGCCACCTGCCATAGGGATTACACAACGTATAAAATTACTTGTCTAAGATTGAAGCCAGAATTTTTAAGTTTCCTCTATTTAAAGTATAATATATGCAACTTACTAAAATAAAAGGCCCAAAAATAATATCAAACTTGGACAAACTGAGGCACACTAAAGGTATTACATTTAGTATGGCCTTCCCTTATGCTTAAAACTTGCCTTGAGAGGTCAGTGTTTTTCTCAAACTGACTGAATTAAAATCATGTGCAAACATTCCTGCTACAATAAAATTCTTCCAAAGAATCTCTCACTGGATATAAACCATAAATAGTGGGATGGATTAGCCATTATATAATCTCAGCTTTACTGGCATTGTTGTTTTTCCAGAGTATTCTTACACGGAAACTTAAGAAATAAACGTTTTCCACAAAGGTGAATTCAGAAAACAGAACATATATTCCAACTGCACTGCTGCAGTCAAGTGTCAATACCAGCAGGATAGGCCAGACTGAAAAAAAATAGTGACTTGATCCAGGTATAACAGAAATAAACACATACATTGAAAAAGGTGAGCTCCCCTGTGACAACGAAGATGAATGACTCAGTGGAAAGCTCAAGAATTCTATAACCAAAGTAATAAATGAGACAGGTGCAGTTGGGACTAACAGTGCTTTCCTTTAATTCTGCTCTGAGGGAATGGAATAGCAAATGGGAGATGCATGAATAGAATGACTATAACTACAGTCATTTTAAACACATGGAAAAAAGTCAAAGAAAAGAGCAATACAAAGAAACAAAAAATATCTAGTCTACAAAATTAAAACATAAATTAATAAAACATACTGACAAGTAAGGTGTAAAACTGAAGATGTTCCCAGCAGAAAAGTTCTTGAGGAAAACCTCACCATTTTTGGCTACTTCTGCTATGATGTTAGCTACTTTGGCTGTGCAGGAAGACTGTGGGATCAACAGACTTGCAAACAGTTGAAGTATTCCACTTCCCTGGATTTTTTCACTTGTTTCCATATCTGAAAGAGATACATACAAAGAGCTGCAATGAAAATCTTCAATACTAACACCGACACTTTACTGGCAATAAATTCTTTAAGAATTTTCACTATTCATAATAGAAATTAGTTCAGTATACATTCCAATGTATGTATGCATCTATATAAAATTACCTTCAGTTCCACAAGCTACTTTTATCTAGAGTTTTTATTTGCACAAAACACTTTATAATACAATCTTTTGTCTATTGACAGTCAGATTATAAAGGAATCCTTCCTGAATATACCATCTGCATACCAAACTTTCTTTTCAATGTTAGTTCCAACCGTGTCTATTCAGAGTAGGAATGCTATTTTTCTATTTCCCTTCTGTATTCTTAACAGCATATTATTTTATATATATAAATTCTATGGTTTCCTACCATGCTTTAGAAATTTTTAAAAAAATAAACGGCAATTAAATGAGCAAAAAACTCGCCTCATATAATTTTATACGGAGTGATAAAGGAGACTATATAGTTCCATATGACTACTACGTTTTTCACACAACTCATTCAAACTACTACTAATAAAGAAGGAAAATAGTAAAAAGCAATAAGGCCATGGTATTCAGAACTTTATTTGGTGATATAGAAATTCAAGAGGCTTCTTTCCTGTCTTTCTTTGTTAAAATACAAATAAAGAGCCTTTCTACGAAACCAAGCCACTTCATGCATCTGTCACTGAAAGCATGACCAATTAAAATAAAAGAAAATAAGAACACTTGGAATGATGATGGAAATAAAGAAAAGCTCAAGGAAATAAAACTTAAAATTACTATTTGATTCTGAACAATGAAGAGGAATGGCATGTGTTTAAAGACAGAGTGTTATAAGGCTCATTAAAATACTCAATTTAAATTTGCTTCTATGATTAGCTGCTCTATATCCTTTCCATCCTTTGGATATACAAATAAGAGAGAACTCTAAAAATTTCTTGTTAAGTAAATGGTAGCTGATGTAATCAATAGAGAGTAGGAAAATCATTTTTTTTAAATAATTTTATTTATTTATTTATTTATTTTCCCCCCAAAGCCCCAGTAGATAGTTGTATGTCATAGCTGCACATCCTTCTAGTTGCTGTATGTGGGACGCGGCCTCAGCATGACCGGACAAGCGGTGAGTTGGTGCGCGCCCAGGGTCCGAACCCTGGCCGCCAGCAGCGGAGCGTATGCACTTAACCGCTAAGCCACGGGGCTGGCCCAGGAAAATCATTTTTAATAGCATAATTTGAGAAAGTCTACAAAAAATAAATAATGTATTTCTTCTAGTAAGTGCTGACTGTTCAGGGCAGTGTTTTTTAAACTGTGGGTCCCAATCCATTAGGAACTCTATAATTGACTTGGTGAACAAGGACCAGCAATTTCTTCAAAAGAGAAACAGAATTAACAACATCTGCAACAACGACCAAACAGAAAAAATTTTGTCCATAGTAAGGTACAACACTGTTAGTGAAACTTTCGTTTAAATTATGTGTGTGCACATACTTATGTAAACGGTACGTGTACGCCTACTCTATGTAAAATGTATTTCTAATCATAGGTTCTAGTCAATAAACTTAAAAACCACTGTGCACCCCCTGACTACTCAGGATTCTGAATTAAAGAACTGTAACACTCTCTTAACATCATCATCAGAAGCTAGAATTGTTGAATGGCTGAGGCAATAGAAAATTATATGGAAAACTGTACTTCTATGGATTTGTTATCTTAAAAAAAAGTCATTTGGGGCCGGCCAGGTGGTATAGTGGTTAAGTTCGCACACTCTGCTTCTGGCGGCCTGTGGTTCGCAGGTCTGGATCCGGGGCATGGACCTAAGCACCACTTATCAAGCCATGCTGTGGCAGGAGTCCCATGTATAAAGTAGAAGAAGATGGGCATGGATATTATTAGCCCAGGGCCAATCTTCCTCAGCAAAAAGAGGAGGATTGGCAACAGATGTTAGCTCAGGGCTAATCTCCCTCACACACACACACACACACACACACACACAAAAAGTCATTTGCAATTAGTTACATATATGTGTGTGTATATGTTTGTTTATCTACGACATTAATACTATAGATCCACTAACCAAGATTATTCAATGTTGAAACTCCATCTGTGCATTTCCTTGTCCTACCATAGCCTAGTACATTTTCAGATAGCTAATACTATTTTAGTTTCTTACATTTTATGTACTACAATAAAAAGGATATTTTTGAGATACTCTAAAACAACCTTATTTATTAGGTGAAGAAACAGAAGCCCAGAAAGATGAAGTAAACTTGTCTAAAGTCATCAATCATACTAATCACAGTATAAACAGCACCTTAGATTCTACGACACTAATAAATCACCATGTGTGTCAGCTGGCATCCACCAGTGTTATTTTTTACAAAACTTACCTGAGCCTAAACAGATGAAACTTGACCTTTGTGTGCTGTCCCTTACTGTGTTTCTTACAGTTTGAACCATTACAAACATAAAGCACACATGAGAGCCCATAAACACAGCAGCTGTCCTTTCAGCAAGCCCATTTATAAAATACAATGTGTCTTTTTACTTTTATTTTGTTTCTTGGACTAAAAAATAAGTTTCTAAGGTACCACCTAAAAATCTGACAGCAAATTTCCATTAATTAATTTTTTGTTGTTGTTGTTGTTGTTTAGCAAGAAGCCAAAAAGAGCTAAACTCCATTTGCCATATTAAAATCCTTCCTTTTCTGATCATCGCTACCAGAAGATGTACAACCTTAGAACAGTGGGGCAGACGGCCCCAGGGGTCTTGTCCCACCATCTGCTGGTGCTGCGATGACAGCAAGAGTGTGGTCTAAGGGCATGAATCATGATTAGATGCGAAGCTGAGGCATCTGTGTGTGTGTGGAGGCGAGCAGTTAACCACAAATCACCCGTGCAGGTCTCATTTTAACTACAGCTGAAAGGGCTTTAGATCAGAGCTGAACTGTCAGGGGCAAGGGGGAAAAAGAAAACAAAACAATACAAAAGCCTTGCACTCTGATGAGACTTTCCACAGATTACAATTCAAGGAATTGGGACAACAGTTATACTAAGATAAATCAAGAATTTGGGAATAGTTATTTTTTTAATGCTACTGTCAGAAAAATAAAAGGGAAAAATATAATCTGGTTTTTCATATAAATCTGATTTTTAGAAAAATCTAACAGGAATTCTATTTACCTGCTAGCATGTGAATTTCTATATAGGTTTAGAATTTAAATTAAGCAGCTGGAATTACCTTCTTTCCTTTGGCATAAAAACATAAAGAGCCAAATACTGCTTATCACTAAAATGTCACTGTCCAATAAATTATTACAGAGTTTCAGCCTCATTTCACGTGTATTTTCTGCACTGGCATTCTACTGCATCTCAAAATGTATATTTATCTGTGAACTAAAAGATATCTGTGATCATCCCTGAAATGATTTTCAAAAAGCATTAGGAAGTAGTCAGCCGTTGGTGTTTGGAGGTCTAAATGAATGGCTACTTATAAAAAAATCACACACTGTTAGCAGGAGTCCTAAAAAAAAGGCAGACTTTTCATTATCTTTAGCCAGACTACTATTGACATTTTAACTACACTCCTTTTAAACGTTTGCAGGAATCAATTCGTCTTTCTCCCCATTCACATTTAGGTGCAGTCATAAAAATGTCTGAGAATACCTACAAATTATAGGCGGCTGGCAGTCCTTGAATCTTGGAGGACCCATATACGAAGGGCAATTGCTACTCTAAAATAACATCTGTGGGAGCTACTGCAGGAGTCATATCCATCACAGTGGGCCTCGCAGTGCTGCAAGCACTCATTCTGTCCCTGTAGTCCTAGGTCCACACTCCACCTGACCTCCTGAGGGCAAGGAGGCAGGCAGCTTAGTTACAAAATTGCCAGTGATAGAAAGAAAAAGAAAATGGGGCAATCAGGTCAGAGAAACTTGAAAGAAGAGTACAATGCCATCTAGGGAGGAAAGTTAAAGCACAACTCACAGAACTCTCTAGGCCAATAACCCAGCAGAAGGGAGAGAATAGGTAGAACGGGAAGGAACTCATAATTTAAGATATGGCTTGAGAAAGGCTCAAGTTCCAACAAAGCTGCCAAGTAAATACATTAAAATAATCGGCTTTACAGTTAAATACCAAGAGGGGGTTTTCAGGTATGCTATTATAATAAGCTGAATTTATGATGGTATGTCAGTATATAGGCCTCATGAGGATAAACTAATGAAAACCATTTGATAACCAATTCACAGCAAACTCCAAGTTGGAAAAACAAAAATAATAACTGCTATTACTATGATTTTATTAGATTAAAATGTATTTGGATTGGATTGATTGTACTGTTTTAGAGTAACAAAAAGTGAAGTTTTCCTTAGAGTTATGGGAACAATAAAGAACTGGTGTCTTTATATTACATGTCTAAGGGATCCTTATGACAGATTGTGAAGAGAAGACTCAGATTTGGGGGTCCCTGACTGCAGGGATCAAGAACGTGACTCAAAGGTCCATGTGTAATCTTGTCTCTGGGGAACTATGTATGTCTCAAGGGGCAGACGTTTAGAATCGGTGTAACCCTGGGCCCTGGGTTCAAATCCAAGGCTTCATTTACTACCATACAGACAAGTCCCCAATCCTCTCCTTTTATCCACCTGAAAACAACGCATTTGCACTTGGATATAACATAAATACCTCAAATTTAACATTCCCCAAATCAAATTTACCCTCTTTCAATTCATCTAGTCTCTATCTCAGTGAATGGTAGGGAACCCATCCAAGCCAGAAGCCCTAGAACGATTATAAATGTTTCTCTTGCAGTGAATGTCTTTCTACCACTCACATTTAATCAGAATACAGGTTCCACAGATTCCATTTGACTAGCATCTTTTGCATCTATCCTTTCCTTTCCACACTCACGTTACTTTAAGTTCTCAGTTCTGACCTTTATTAAATGCAACAGCCTCCTCAAGAGTCTCTCTAACTCCAGACCACAC